ATGGCGTCATGGGGCGGCGGGTGTGCCGCGCTCTGCTCCATGGCGTCATGGGGCGGCGGGTGTGCCGCGCTCTGCACAGTGGCGTCATGGGACGGCGGGGTGCCCTTGAAGGGCCCGGTTTGCAGTGCTGAGGGGGAGAGGTGCCCATCTCTGCCCTCCTAGGGGGATGCAGGCCATGCTGTTAGCCATGTGCCACACCTGGAGTCGAACCCAACATCTTACTTTAGTTTCCACCAGGGGAGGCCGGCATAGCTTTTTAAAACGATTTTTCTCGTGATTAAACGTGATTAGACGTAGGCTCATTTCACAAGTAATAACAATCATCATAGGAAATGATCAAGTTCAGGTGGAATTTTTGTTCTTTGTATTAGTGTAGCACAGTAAACTTCAGAGCCATATGAAACCTGGCTTATTTAGAGTATTGATTTTAGATGCATTAATCAAAGGCTGAGTATTTCATTCTTTAGTGCTATGAGTTTCCTACTAGGTCTTGAACATCATTCCATCACCTTTTGTTTTCATTATTGTTTTTAACTGTTTCTTTGCAGATGTCATGGTTTGGATCAAAGCCATCTCCGAGAGGTATTGTTCGGCCATCAATTTCAGGATCATCTGCACACTGGAGCTGAGTTGAGGGTCGGGGGTTAGACCCCAGATAGCGTTGATGAGACCCCATCACCTCCCACCCCCTCCTCACCCCTCACTCCCGTGCCCACATCCAGGACGTCACCTCATCACTGTGGCAACAGAATACATATTTCCTTTTTAAACAAAAACTGAAATACTTTTTAAAAGGGTACTGATTTTAAATACTTTCTACTGCTAACTGGTGTAGCTTGTTCTCTCCTTTTGGAGATCAGTGCTGGGTTTTCCTTTTTCCCTTCCTCTCCCTCCTATTTTCCCTTTTTTTCTTTTTTGAAGGTGACAGAGGACTGTGCCTGTGGATAGGGAGAGCTTTCTAGCTGCGTGAGGGACAGATCTGTTTTAAATGGGGCTTGAGCTGTGTGTTTTCTTTGGTTTCCACTAATTTGCGAACCTCCTGATCGCGCTGTAAACGTTTGGCTGGCAGATGTTTCCTTCGCCCCATTCTCTACTTCTCCATTTTGGCTACCATTTGAAGGCGGGTGGGGGGGGTGTGAAACCACCTGATGTCTCTGGGGAGAAGACGCTTCCTTGCACTTCCCCATCTGCCCCTAGAGCACACACAGGTGGTACGGTCGGCTCACTGGGACTGTGAGTTCTCGCAGATACCAGTTCCGTTTCCACGATTGCCTCCGCTATCTGCTTGGAGTCAAACTCCACCTTCCCTCAAGGGGGACCACAGCTTGTCCCTGTGTGTGCCCCTACATCTACACCTGCTTCTACACCTCCCTCCCCGTCTGGGCATTGTGAGGTCAGACGTGTGGTTCAACCATGTCTGAGTTATTTTACCAAGCTACACGCTTCATTAAATTCTCATCCTCCCCCCACTACAGCTTTTTATTTTTATTTTTAAATAACTGTCTAAATTTGTAAAGCTACCTGTTGCTAATTGAGCACCCACCCCTCCCCCATGCCCCATTCCTGTTTGGAAGCCCTAACAGGTCAGGGATACCTTTGTCCACAAAAGACAGATGAACTTTTTAATGTAAAGAAAATCATATTGAAGCAACTACGTTGGAAATGATTGCCTTTACCTGCCTTGTGTTTGTGTAAAATACATTCCATATGACTATTTATATATCAGTAACTGTATATAAGCATTAAATTTATAAATCACTGGGGTATATGTTACTTTTTGTCAGATCTTACAGTATTATGTTATAATGATTCAATGCTTAATCTGGCTTGGGCCTTGACTAAATTATGAATTTTGCTCCATTGGCAAATGTCTCCCTTAAACTTCATTGAGAAGGTATTGTTCAGCTTTATGGGGAGAATTTCGCATTAGATTTAATGACAGTGGCTCTGTGGAGGTCAGTATGTCATTTTAACATTATGAGGCAGTTCTTGCATCAGTGGCCTCTATGCAAAGCAAAACGATCAGACTCTTAAATCATATATAAATGATGTTTTGTGTCCAGGGTTCGATAGCAAAATGACACTAATCTGGATTCATCTGAAAATCTAGTGATATAAGTAATGATGTATGAAAGAAAATCATGGCTAAGATATTTCACAGAACACTGCATTTTGAATATGTTTTGGACAGACAGGTTTGAACGTTGCTGCTGTAGGAAATGTAAGGCAGAGCATCTGGGCTGCAAGATTCAGGTGCTGCTGTCTGTGGTCTCTGCCACCAGCTGTGAGGGTTTTTAAAGGTTGAATAGCATTGAGGAGATGGTGATGGCTGTCCGTTTACACTCAGGAAAACAAAAGGGTAAAAAAATTGTACCTTTGCTTGCCACTGAGGCTGTACCCCTGTAATTGTACCTTTTTAATGTACAGAAATTGACTGAGGAACATTCCAAAGGTACAAACAGCATTAATCAGTGGTACGGAAGTGTTCCTCAGAGTCAATTTCTGTACTTTTAAAGTTACCTACAGATAAGGGTAGTATTTGCAGACCCTTGAGGGTATGGACTCTGTGACAAGCAATGGTACAAATTTTTAGCCTTTTTTCTGAGAACGTTGAAGGACAGGTCTGGTTGGGTTCGTCTCCATCTCAAGGCAGCCCTGCCAGAAATGTGTGGCTACAAGATCGCCATGGACACAGCGAGTCACAATGCCTCCGGACCATCCACACCGCCATCGCAGTCTCTCCAATCAGATCTTAGATTTTAAGCCTGAAATACCACTACGATGTCCACTAATTCCTGTTCTTGGGATTGTATGTCATGGAATTTTTTTTCTTTCTGCCTGGGGAACTCCTTTGTAGATGTGTATGTTAATTTGGGTTTTAATTAAAACTGAGAATTGAAACACCTCTGCATGGTGTGGTCTTCATTTCTCCTGAGGATTTTAATTGCACCAGCCACAGCTTGTAGAATAACACAAATCAACATTAAAGAGCACTAAAAACTTAAAATATTCATTTTAGGCAAACTAACCATTTGCAGTCTAAACTACAAGCCCCAACCAAAGAATCCGAGACAACAGGCTTCTGTAACATTAAAAAAGTTGTGCTCCATAAGCTTTATTTCAACAGGCACTTTACAAAGACGCCTTTGACCCCAGCATGGAAGACCCCAAACCATCACTGCTTTATATTAAATGTCTGCTTTCTGTACAAACATGAGGGAAATGAGTAAAACCTCAATAGAGGGCCAGCTGAGTGAGAACAGGGCACCACTCATCACACCAAACCGTATATATTTCCTCCTGTACTACGGAACATCTCATTTTTATAGATAAACCCTTTTTCAATTTTTGAAATTCAAGGTCTTCCAAATTAAAAAACAAACTGAACAGGAATGTGAATATATGCAAGACAACATATGTTATAAAGTCATGTATATTAAATAGAAGAATAAATGCCCCTCACAAACTTGGTAACAGGCACAATGCGACCCCAACACTTAAAATAACACTTCCGTTGTTTTAGTGTTCCTAAGATCGTCAGTAACTGTCTGGGGAAAAGTCCGTCCACAGACTGCTTGCCTTCATCCTCTTCTTTGGTGAGGGACAGTCTTTTAAACGGTCTTTCGTGCAGTGAGAACTCGCACGATGGATCCTAAGCCACCCACTGCAAAAGCCTGGGGGGGTGGGGTGGTGGTAATATTTTAATCAAGGCATTCATAACGGATATTCTATGCAAATTTCCTGAAATGCTTCCATTTCATACTGCACAAGTATGATGGTTTATTACAGATCACAGCAGAATATAATATGTGGATTACAGATGTCAATCATAGTAGATTAAAAAAGGAGGGCAGTTTGTCGTGATTTCTCATACTCATATTCTACGCAATTCAAATTATTTTTATATAGCCCTTTCACAGTAGTGTCAAAGTCAAAGTAGTTAATTACAGCTATAATTAAAACTTATTTTTGAGAAATACATTATAATGGTAATTCTTATTAATCTCGCCAAAAATGCAGGCAATCTCCCCTGGGACGAGCCCTCGTATGGATCGTTGGACGAGCTTCCAATCTTGGGTTTAGTAAATTTGTCTCCAGGGTCAAAAAATATATCCATGCATCCATCATAAATAAAATCTCTTTGGTTTTAAATCTGCAGTTCAATTGCTCTTAGCTACTAAACAATTAACGCAAGTCATTTTTCATTTAAATTATCTGGGATTGGATTTGAGTAAGAGTGAAGTTTTTTTTTTTCCTTTTCTTTTAAAGCAGAAACTATGAGTTGTTCTCCATTTCACTATTAACGGTACTCCTGAAAGAATATTATACATCATTTAACAAGTCTGAAGAGCAATTTACAAGGCCTTACGTGATCCAGTTTTTGAGCCACTGTGTCTGTGATCTGAATGTTGTGGGTTCGAATCCCAGGTTTGGTGAATTGATGCTAAGTCATGTCACCGCTGGGCCCCTGATCAAGGCCCTTAACCCTCAATTGCTCCATGGAATGACCACCTGCATTTTTATTTCTCAGATAGATGCATTTGATAAATAGAAAAATCCAATTCAACTTGATTTTAATTATGCATATAATCAGGGGAACCAAATCACCCCCCCCCCCTCCCCTCAGATTAGTGGACGGTTCTCAAACCGTCACCAATCCCAGCACTAAGACTGACCTTTTCATGCCACTGCAGCAGCATGACGCTGCTGTTTTCCGTGGGCTTCTCGAATCCCCTGTAGATGTACTTCATCAATAAGTCCACGCCGTTCCTGTCCAAGGAGCGGACAGCTGTCTCGATCTCGCTGCTCCTGAACGAGGTGAGGACCCTGAGCACCGTCGCCTGAGCCTTCTCCTGAGCACAGAGGATCGGGGGCGCAGTAAGGCCTTTGCATTAGTTGGAATGAAAGTTTTCTGTTACGCTCCAGGCAAATCCACAAAACAGGTCAGTCACGCTCCTGATACTGGAAAAGTGAACTTCCAAAAATTATACGAAATTAAAAAATGCACTCGGGCCCAGAGATAACCCTCCATTTCCCTAAGTATCTTTCAAAATGTCACCGCACAGACTTAGTCACCTTCACAGCGGCATTCTTGGTGTTGATGGGCGGGTTCCTTAGTGCAGTGTGAAATGCAGTCATCATGTCTCCTGTGCGATGAGCAGTCAAGGTCCATATGAGCAGAAACACAGAACAAAATACGGCAAATGGACGAAAAGCTACTAAAGTACCGCAGTTACTCTAAAAAAATAAATTGCACACAATGTCAGACAGAACTGATTTCTGGTTTTCAAGAAAATGCATGCACACTATATATTTTATGTAGATGTGGCAGCCTTATGCAGGCTTTAAAAAAATGCAACACAAAAACCAATGACAAACATTTCTCACTGCAAAAACTGCATTTCAGCCACTGCTATGTTACTTTCTATAATCATTTTCCATCCATCTATCTTTTTTTAAAGAAAAAAAAATTAAGAAATACATTTTAAAAATGTATTACGAGGTCTCGTTGCACTGGGAAGTGCCCAAAATTAACTCCACCTATAGGGCAACAAAACAGACAGCATCAGTACTAGAAATTATGACATTACAATTAGTTGTCCAGGGATACGGTAATATTGAGAAAAGTCATTCAAAACATAGACCTGCTTAACAGCTCTGTTTCCAAGTTAGTGCCTAAACAAAAGTATACCAAAATCCGCATCTCTATAAACAGTCAGGACAGACAGTTTTTCGCTGCCGAATGATTAATTTCAAATAGTTACGCGAACGAGAAATTAAAGTCTGGAGTAGACAGCATGCCTTAATGGCGTTAATTCGGAATACCTGCAAATGTGAGTAAATCATGCGCTCATATGACTTTGGAAAATTACGAGAAGACGAAGTGTGATTAGGTACTGATCAAGAAATCGGCTCTGCTTCCGAATAATAATCAACCGTACTTTAAAAAACACACTTTCATTGTGTGTGTGTGTATATATATATATATATATACACACACACACATATATATATACATACACACACACACACACACACACACACACACACACACACACACACACACTACTCAAATATAACAACTTAGCCTAACATGCAGGCAGGCGCACATCTACCCCATAGGTAAACACCTTGTACAAGTTTACCCCCCTGGTCCACTGAGCGACCTGCCAGCCAGGTTTCACTCTACACCCGCAAAGGATATTGTCGAATAAGGTCGTCGACCTCGGCGGCGTCCGGCCCTTGGTTTTCCGCCGCCTCCTCCTGATCGTCCACGAACTTGTTTTCGTCATATTCGTCGATGTCGACTCGTCGGAACCGCGATGAAAGCGTGTTTCTCGCCATCGGAGCCGGTTCCGGGGGAGGGGTGGGGGGAGAAGGTTATTCACGCCTTGTCGTCCTGGCGCTGTGTCAGGCGAAAGTAGACAAATAAAAATGATTTTAGAATATATCAATAATTCTGCGTATGATGGAGTGCCGTAAATATGCTCCGGTACCTCGGTGAAGACAAACGCCAAGAAAGCAACGCAGACACAGCGGCGTGCAGGCGGGCCTCAGTGAGCCCGAGTGAAGGTACAGATCAGTGCTGTACACTCTTACCGCAGCACAAGCCCACGATGAAATAGTAAAATACGGCACCGGAAGCGGAACTCCTTCATTCATAAAAAGGAGTCATCTCAGGTCGTTTCTCATTGGACAAGGTGACAGTCACTCCTGGGGTGTTGTTGACCCTGGTCCCATGCTGAGGCTGGCGGGGGGTCTCCCCACTCGGGACAGCCTAGTGTGATCCGTTCTTTAAATATTAGGGATTGTACTGTAGATATTAATTTGGCAGCTGTTACCTCTCTAGGATTTTCCTATTGGACACAGTTACACAATGAACTTTTTACACAGTTCACTAAACTATATGATATATAAGCACGGAGGGTGGGAAATTGTATAGATGGTACTGGTAATCAGAAATGTAAATTAGCTACAATTCGTCAAAAACTGCATGAAGGATCCACGTGTGTCTTATGATGACTGTTGAAGTAAATTCAAATATTAACCTACAATGCAATAATCTAATAAGCATACCCTTTCTAAATAAACTTTAGGCAGTACCCGATATTAGAGAACAGATAGATAAAACTGCCAGATAAAGTGCTTTGAATGTTTTTCGTAATCTGCTCCAGATAATAAAAAAACTTGTTACATTTTTACGACCGTCATACTGGTCGGTGTCACTTTGAAGTACTGATAATCAGATGAACTGTACTGCAGTTGTCTTCCAGTACAAAACTCCAAAACGCTCTAAAGTCACTTGTCAAGGTGGCAGATTAGACATGTGCTTTTAAGTCCCATATATAACTTCAAACCCTTTAAATGTGTGCTGTGAATCTGTTTTGGTGTCAAACTCAACCTCATGAAACGTGTCCTCCGCTCCATTCCATCAAACAACCGTCACAACAGGTGGTTCTGCATAATCTCAAGAGTAATTGCAAAGAGTCGTTGCATTGCATGGAATGGCAGGAAACATCCATGTCCTGCTTGGAGAGCACGTGTTTTGCGAAGTAACACGTTGGGTGTTAATAGCAAAATGTGTTACTCAGATAATTGCTGAGCATGTATATGACCAATTTTAATTTTAACTATGTATTCAGATGATTATATATAGCACCGTCTATAATGTTAATGTTCTTTAGATCATTTTGATTAATATAGTAACGTCCTTCTCAGGTACATATTTTAATACACGTTTCTATTAGTTAACCACATGCTTACTCTTAAAATGCTTTTATGTTTAAAATGCAATGGTTCATTCCGGCCCACCCTTACTGTACAGATGGTAGGCATTTTGACCCCCTGCTATGACGATGGTATCGCCCGTAACGCGGTAGTTGTTTGGTCCCCCCTGCCGTACAGATGGTGTCGCCCGTAACCCGGTAGATATCTCCTCTTGTCCCTCGCGCTTCCCTTTCCCGTGTCACCCAGCCCAGAATATGGTGAGACCTTTTTTCCTCCTTTCAATCTAATTCAATCCTCGATGTTCCAGAGCTTAATATTTTACGCAAAGTGGTAACGAAGTCGAAAAAGATGTAGATCTAAGGACCTAATAAATTATTAGATGCATCAGTTGATCGGTTTTAACTGAAATGTATAAAGTTTTTTTCCGTCTCCACTGAGCCGAGCTTACGGTAGCCGGGCTCCTTGTCCTAAAGGAAATCTTCATGAGAGGAAAATAGGTTCCTTTTATTATACGTAATTTTCTTCTAGTGTGCAAATGTAATGTTATTCAGGTTGTATGGCCAGATTTAATGTGTGTTGCCATTCGGCCTCTCAGTGCTAGTTCCGTGTGCGGCCCTACCGAAAGAGGTTAGCCGCCGTGTTGATCCTGATACCACAGGTAACCGAGCTTAAAAATACTCGTTAACCGTGTTGCCCCTTCATGAGAAATTATGGGCTTCCTAGTGTAGAGACTTAACACATACGTGTAGCGCAAATGAAAGTGTATATATAAAGTAGGCCTTCAGGTAAACGCAATAAATTACGGTTTAGTCTAATACTGCGGTGTAACTTTAAAGATGGAAATGAATAACACCATCGTGTGAGCTCGGTGTACTACTATCTGAGCTGTTAATGGGATTTATTTGTAGGGGATTATGTATAGTTACGTATTTTCCCCACTTCAGACCATCAGTTTGAAACCTTACTGTGGACCGCCTGGCATGATAACCTGCCGCTTAGGTGTCTGTCCTGAATGCCTGATGCTCACCTGCCTTGACCCTCCTCTCTGCACACTCAGGCGAAGATCAAGGCCCGAGATCTGCGTGGTAAGAAGAAGGAGGAGCTGCTGAAGCAGCTGGAGGACCTGAAGGTGGAGCTGTCTCAGCTGCGGGTCGCCAAGGTTACCGGCGGGGCTGCATCCAAGCTCTCGAAGATGTGAGTACAGAGAATGCAGTGTGATGATGCAGGCAGCTGCTTGGGCAGAGAGCAGGGTTCCTTAGGCAGGGTTTTTAGGGTCCTGAGCACGCAGGCCCTGCTAGTATGTAGTCCAGAACACCCTATTTTTACGTGTTAGGCAGCATTGTTTGCAGCATTAAAACTGAAGCTTTGTGTGGCTCAGCAATTTAGGATGCCGTGCCTGTGATTGGAAGCAGTGGCCTAGCCGGAAGTAAGATTGCTGGTGAGGTAAATTAAAAATGAGTGGGCCACACGAACCAGTACAGCTCAACAGCATTTCCAGTACATTACATATGCGAAAGTGTTCTGCTATGTGATGGCCTGCTGTCATTTACTGACATCCCTGAACAGCCATAAAAATCAAACCAGTCCGTTCTGTTCAGTTACTGTAAGACGCTATATACACAGTCTACACAAACGCCTCACAGCAGATGTAGGGACAACAAGAACAAGGCATATTAATCTTTCTGAAGCCATATTAATCCATAATTTAAAAAATACTAGCTAACATTAGATTTCCCACTGAAATCCAGGCGTCTGGGTCTTGGCTCTCGACCGGACGCTTCTGTAGCTTCTCAGCCACTTTCATGCGTCGCTTTAATAGGCTAAACTTCACATGTAATTTCAGTAGGGCTGTCACCATCGATTATATCGATAAATAATCTAACGATTCATCAATCATTTATAACGTATATTATTTTTTATATATTGCGGCTCGTGCACACTGTTACACATATGATCAGTTTAGGCACTTCGGTTCACTTAAATTTCCTTTTCCTGGACAGTGTAAGGAAACTGGAGAATCCGCTGAGTGTCACGTACGGTGAACGTGCAAATCCCACACACACACAGTGGCAGTGAAAACTTCAAATATCACAATGTGAACTTTTCCAGTATCGTTCTGTCCTAACACAGTATGTTCACAAATAATTAGTAGTAATTGGTTATATGTACCGTATTATGTAAAATGAGAGCTAACCTTTGTTTTGGAAGCGATTGTTTTGACATAAAGGGAGCGTATAAAGTCCACGTGATGAGTCTGTCTAGGCTACTCTGATTGGCACTTATCTGTAGCTAACGTTGCATTATTGGATGAGTGTCAAACCTGAATGTCTTTTAGGATATATTTGCTTTGCAGTTGCGCTGAGGTGATGTTTAAGTTGTGCTTTGCGAAACTGACAGACTACATTCTCATTCACTTTTAATGTTTAGTGCTTCCACACAGATGATGCTTTCGCTCTTTATTTGGACCCTCAACCACTATGCGCCATCATCCTTCCGCCATATTGCAGAGTAATCAATTAGGGAAATTTTAACTGATGCTTTTTAATATTTGAGTAATTGAGTTTAATCAGTCAAGACAGCTGTAAATTTCATGTAAAACTACACTGCCACCTCGAAACAATTGAGGATGTTATTGGGATCGATTGCGATCAAAATGGGATACAGCCTTTATTTATACAACCTGTGACATGTTTAGAATTCATTATTAAATTTGGCCAGCAGATCGATGTTTAGTTTTGCACAGATTAAAAAAAAAAACAATATGATTATTCTGCTAATGAACACTGGCAAGTTCCTCTGCCAGCTCTGGCAATATTAGACAAAGGTTAAATGTTAGTCTTTTTCAGATTCTGAAATTAATGATGCAAGCAAAACTGTATTTGTTAATGCATTAAAAATGTAGTTTTGTTCCATTCTGTTGCTTGTCGTCAACCAGTCAGCAAGGTATCGCTATAAGAGCCTCCCCAGTAGTTCACGTTCAAACAAAAAGTGGGGAGTAAGCAGGGTTCCGGAACTGCCTCCGAAGAACTACAGCCAGACTGACTTTCTGAGGTGTAGTTCCAGAAAAAAGTTCCTGCGGTGGGAAAGCACCCAATATTAGATTTTTTACAAAAAAGGCAGCTATTTGATTGGTTGGGCTTAAGCAAAAAGTGGATGGGCCTTTAGCCATGCACCAAATCGGAGGTTTGCTGGTTTAAAGCCTGGGATTGCCAGAGAGATGTCACTGTTGGACCCTTGAGCAAGGCCTGCAACCCCCAGCTACTCCAGGGACAGTCTGACCCTGCTTTTTCAGTCGCTTTGGATTGGATCAGCTGCTAAATAAATTCAATGTGAAAGTTAAATTGGCTTCCGAAATGCTAACATTTCAAAATATCTATTAAAGTATCATCTTGACTCTAGTGTGAGAGAATCAGTCTTTTTATTTTTTTCTTAACCTACTAGACTTCATAATGTCCTCATAGTGAAGTGGGTTTTTTTATTTTTTTAATAAGGCTAATAGTGTTCTGTTATGGCTGTTAGGTTGAATGATGGTTCCCTGGTTGCTTCTGAGCATTGGGTCTTGAGCTCCTCTCTGTTGTAAGAATGATGAGCTGATGGTGGTTCTGGTGTCCTTCCTGTGTCTCCAGCCGCGTGGTCCGGAAGTCCATCGCCAGAGTCCTGACTGTCATTAACCAGACCCAGAAAGAGAACCTGCGGAAATTCTACAAGGTAACACCGTCGTCCGGACGTTACACCAGGGTGCAGAATACCGTGTTGTAACTATGAATGTGCCTCTTGTGGAGGACGTGCAGATAGCATGTTCTCTTTAAAAAGCTTCTCTGCTTACGGTGGTTTCTCTCCTTACTGTGATAACACTCTAGGTCTTTGTCTTTAACGTGTTTATTTTGGTTACAAAAAATTCACATCACACTGGTTTTGTCACCAAAGAAAGCAGTTAAAATTATGCTGGGGCCCAAGAAGGAGAGTCAATAGCTATTTGCTGCAGATGGCTTATGTTTTTGATCTCAATGTTCATAAGTACTTCAGAAGGCATTTTTTGTGATGACGGAGGCTATATTGTGTGTGTGTGTGTGTGTGTGTGTGTGTGTCCCTGTTATTAGTCTGTTGAAGTCTGACTTGTACAGCAGCAGGAGTTCAGGAAAGACTCCAGTCTGAGCCTCCTGGCAGTAATTCACAGCATTCTTCTATTATGTTGTCTATATACAAAACTGACCACATTGATCCTTCGGTTAACCAGGAATCTCAAAGTCTGCAGCACAGTTTGCAGGTTTCCCTGTTCAAACACGCCTCATAAACCTGGAAGCTGTCTGGTGAGCGGAGTAAGGTGTTTGAGCAGTGAAATCTGCTGGATGCAGACTGGCCTTCCAGGACAGCAATCTGAGAACTGCTAGCTAAAATGTGCCGAGCATTTATTTTAAATTCAGGGTAATCTGGCTGCCTTGTATGTAACTCAGCTTCATATGTGACATGTCAACCAGAGGGTTTGGACCTGCTGGAGTTCATATGGTTGTTTGTCTAAATGTGAAAAGCAAATCAGCTGCCATGTGTCTTACTAGGTCTGTGTGTACTTGGTGAAGATGGACTTCAGTGTCCTTAAACTGTACTAGTGACTTTGCATTTGTCTAATCTGATGGAAAATGACTATGGTCATAATCGTGGACATGCTTTATATAAACGCTTCTTTTAAATCCGGAACAGAGACTGCGGAGCTGGTCGTTTTGTGCCGTTGTGTTTAGCTCCTGTGTGTGGAATTTGTTTCCAGGGCAAGAAGTACAAGCCCCTGGACCTGAGGCCCAAGAAGACACGAGCCCTGCGCCGGCGCCTGAACAAGCACGAGGAGAACCTGAGGACAAAGAAGATGCAGAGGAAAGAGCGGTTGTACTCCATCCGCAAGTTCGCCGTCAAGGCGTGAGGCTGTCCCGTGTCAAGTGCAGTATAATAAAGTAAAGTGTGAAGAACATGGAGTGTGTTTGCTCTGTCACGCCGGGCCTGTGGAAACACTCTGCCATCCTGGAAACATCCTTGCTGTTCAGCTGTGAGGTATTCAGGCTGCTCACCTGAGGAAGCCCAACCCTTTGGCCCTAAAGCTCTTTCCATTTGTCATATCGCTCCTGCAGTGAGGAGCTCCTGTTGTCGTCGCGCGAAACTGTGCACGTGTCCGTTTGAGGTCAGTCTGACCTGCAGGTTGAGGTTCCCGGGTCAGGTGTCTGCTTCCCATAAAGTCTACGGGCCTTTCTTTGACCGTCTGACCTTATTCCTCTGTGGATTTGTACGTAGCCCTTGAGCTCTGCTTTCAAATGCTTGTTTTAGAGGGTTTACAAAATACCAAAATGTCTCCGGTTAGTCTTTGCACTAATCTTGCCATTTATCGTCTAATTTTGGTGGGAACATGTTATGGTGGGTATAGGCAGGTGACCTTAACCACACTATAAGATACTTAACCTCTTCAATTCTCACATAAAATAAGAGTTGCTGAATGCTGGCTGGTTAGAAATCCACATTCATTTCTGTGTCTGTGAGAACCATCCATTTGGTTCTCCTTTTAATTCAGTGCAAGATTCCTTAACACTGCATCACGTTAGGTGAGAATTATTTTGTAGGGTGTTCTGCCCTTTTTTTTGTTTTAGGTGCACATGTAAATGGTGATTCTGCACGGCATGGTAACCCAGTCCATGTCTGTGCAGGAAACGGAGAAGCAGGAGATGGACATTTATTTTCTGTCTCCCAGCAGTTGGTTATCTGATCTGGCCCAGACTGGACAGTCTGCAGTAGCCTTTCACAATGGCCGGTTTGTGTCTCTCTCTGGATCTGTCTTGTTTTTCTGTCACCACTGGTGGAGCGATAGAAGGGATGTAACAAGTGGGTCTGGTTTCCTCGGAGATGCAGTTTAATTGGTCCGATATGCAAGGTGTTCCAGTTTGTCTTGCAATTTGTCTGGCTGTAATTCAGTGATTGACAACTGGCCACCAGCAGTTGGTAGAACATTACATATATGCACACAAATATAGTATGTGCATGTGAGGTTGGGAAGGTTTTTCATTAAAGATGTGAACTTACAACCTGAAGTCTGTAGGTTCAAGCCCTAGAAGGGAATCCACAATAGATAATGGACTACAGTAAAAAATAGTGGCAATCTAATAGATAAAACCAAGTTTTGACAGAAGCTTCAAGTGAACAACTGAATGTAGAGGTGTAACAAAGACTTTCAGCCATGAACAGTTTAGGTTCTGTACAGCTGTGTGCCGTGCAGCGAAAGTTGAAAATTAAATGAAAACCATGGACTGCTTTGGAAACTAACTAAAATCAAGTTAATTTTAATACTTCTAATTTAGCTGGAAGTAATGATGTACCTTTACTTCATGATGGAGATCATTTGAGGAACCATGACCTGGTATATTGCCTTCAGTAATGCCTGGAAGGTGCACTGTAGGATTACCTAACGATCACACAAATGGTATATTTCAGTGCCTAGAAACAGAATTACTGAAACTTAAAATGCATAAAACTGAACATAAATAGATCTTTGAAATGAAAACTAATAAAACACTGAAAACTGAACAAAAAAACTGCAGTTTAAAGGCCCAATTAACACATTGTTTGTTAAACGCACTCATTGCTTTCAGTGTTACCACGGCTGAGCAATGTGACCTGCACTAACTAGAACCAGAACAAATACCTGGGTGAAAGAATGGAACTTTCCATGACCTCCAGAACGCCAAACAGGTTAACACTGGCCAGTTTATAAGGTACACCTGATCATTAAGGCAAACAGCCAATGCTGAGGCTGCAGCCGTATACACACAGCACACAGACAGGCTCAAGAGCTTCGCTTACTGCGTGGCCAAACAGAACAGCTGAATGTGTGAGATGAGTGATGCTTAAAAATGGTGGCCTCAGCATCTCAAACAGCCACTGTCCTGGGATTTGCACACACTAGCGTTTTTACAGAGAATGGTGTGATGGAGAGGAGTGGCCGGAGCTAACAGGAAGGCCTTGAGTGCAAAGATCACAGCTCAGCACAACAGTGGTACACAGAACGGCATCTCCCAACGCATAACTCACCCTCGCTTGAAGCAGTCCTGGAGACAAAGTAGGTCCAAGTTGCTAGTACATGGGGCTACCTAATAAAATGGCCCCTAAATGTAGATTATGGTCTGACCTTTCGCAAGAATAATTAGTCTTTCTTTAAATTCTTTCCCTTTTTTCTCACAATTTATATTTTAGCTTGGCAACTATAAAACCCTAGAAGAATGCATTCTGCCAGCTGTCCAACGAAGACCAAGATAGACTGCTTGTTGCTAACAGGACGGTTTAGGGTGTCCTGTGTATAATAGAAACGGTCCTATGCACAAATTGCAACCGACTCTCTGACTGCGTGTGTACAAGTGCACCGTGGCCGACAATGAAGTGCAAAGGAATCGATTCCACTTGCGTGAAAATGGAATTTTGATTGCAAGTTCCAATCTGGTTGTTGTCGGGAATATGATGGATTATTGAAGGGTCAGAAGGGTCTGCCTGAGGTTACCTTGGTGATGGGAACAACAGCAGGGCTGCCCATCAATGAGCACAAGGGGCAATGGAACGCTTGAAGCACTTAATGGAACCTGGTTTTGCATGTAGGAGAGTGTGGAGTCTAAGATCGATCGAACACAGCAACTCCAGCTTCAGTCCCCATTCAGTACGGGAATGCAATCAGGAATCTTGATTTATATCATTCTATTATTTTATAGTTTTTGAACTTTCAAAAAGGCTTCCTTGTTTTGTAAAGGCGGTGTGGAAGCTTAACCAAAGTCATATTTCATGTTTTCTACTGCATTAGGTGATGTAGTTGAGGACAAAACAAGACAATGAATATCAGGCAAAAGTAAATAAGTCACTATGTGGTATTATGGTGTAGAATAATGTGTGAGATGAGTGCAATTAACAGTTTAACACATCATGGGGTCAGGGATGGCTCTATTTGCACCATCACTGCAAAACTGAAAATTAAACTGAAAATACATCTAATGTCTGAAAGGAGGTTTGCATTATCAAAACAGGATGTTTCTATTTGGATGACATAATTGGGAGGTATGATTTCAACAATCACACATTCTCCTACAGTTCATGTAAAAACGACGAGCTACTTCGCATTAGTCTTTGTGGAAGTAAACACCAGTACCTTAAGACTGTGGGCGCTAAGTATCTCTGTAGCAACAGTAGGGGGCAGTATTTAACCGATTAATAATTTTGAGTCGTTTGCTACAGTTGATTTGTTGCAAAACACGAATTAAAAGTTTCTTTTAAAAATATATATATAGTTTTGCTTTATTAAAAATAATGGTTAGCCAAATGACTAGGCTTTAGAGATTTATTTGTGCATGTGATGAAATTCTCACAGTACATTTAGTGGACGATGTTGATCCCTGTGTGAGCTAGCGTGACCTCGGTTTATTGTATTGCTTAATGGAATCTCTGCTTGTAATTTGTATGACGCTCCAGCACAAAAAAGGCAATCCGTCGCTTTGTGTGCTCGCCTGGAAATGTTAATCACGATTAAAAGTCATTCTGGCATGACGGTCGTCCATAATCACATGGAGTCTGGATGGTGACACCTTCTCATCTTACAGAGTCCTTTATGGTGTCTTGGTCCTCTGCTTCTCCTGTGCTAAATGTTAGGATTCTTCTGGTAGACTGGGACTGAGCAAGATTAACGTCTGATCTATCAGGGAATATAAAATACAAATGATATGATATTGGGTGCGTTGTGTGCATGCGTACGTGAATCTGCAAATCAGATTTCTGTTTATTGTCTGGCAAATGCTGTAGTCAGTAGTAGCTGGATATTAACAAAACTGTTTGGCTTTCGTCTGTCGAGGATTACCCCACGTTAACTGCACTCAGCATGTTCTGCCTGGAAGTGAAATTCTGTTTTATGCAATTACACATTTTTTCATAGAAAAATGATGCAAAGTGACACACACACTGCGGAAAACATGAGGCTCCTTGGCAGGAAATTGGCTATGATGGGAAGCTCCTGCTCGGTGGGAGAGAAATTATAAATAACGGGGACAATGTACGCGCCGTGGCTGAATCATTTCAAACGAAGCTAACGAAAGGCCTAATTTGCTCGCTGAAACAGACTTGGAAAACAATGCTAACATTCATGGCATAATGATTTAAAGATGTATCTAAATAATAAATAAACAGATAACGATAAATGAGGCACGCACATTTCAAGGATAACTGCAGCTAATAATGATTGTCCCTGGAAATAAATATCAGATGTTCTTTTAATATTGCATTTCTCGCAAAATGCGGTAGGATTTCACATTAAGAGTCTTTGGAGCCTGTGGAGTATCTGTCAACCTTGTGCTTGTGTTTTGGTTATAGTGACCCTCCGTGAAAATGAGACCTGAAGCCCATCCACATGCCGTGAATGAGTGCGGAACGTGTGCTAATCATAGAGGGCACACTGAGTCACCGGGGGGGAGGTGGGGTGGGGGGGCGCATCAGTACAAGTAGTTGAGGGCCCTTTTTAGTGCAGACCCCTGGGCTCCAGTCTGGGTTAGTCCATGTATCTCAGCAGCCAGGGTGGGGGGGCAGCACAGCTGGACAAGGCCGAGTCGCTGAAAAGCTCAGTCATTCGCGTTATGTGACTGTTTTTACAAAACCACCTCCTGTGTTCAGCTCACGTTTGCTTGCATTTTCCTGCTTGCTGCATTTTCCCGTGTTTCCCTTGTCTTTTACATGACTTTTTTTTACAAATTTGTTTCTTTTCCCACCATTCTGCTAAGCCTGTCTCCACACCCCCACAAAAAGCCCCCTATTGATTCCTCACCTCCCATCACAGAATTAAATAATTAATATTATTTCTTCTTATTATTATTATGGGTTTTGTTCAATCAAAACTAGCGCATTGACATTTTGAATAAGGGTTGCTTGTCACTGATAGTTTTATTCTCAGAATAAATGCTCAATAATTTGCAGTGTTTCCCCTGTGAAAATGAGATGATTCACTCAGGCTGGGTTTTGTTTGTGCTGTAACGAGCCTGATCTGGGTTAGAGGCAGTCCCAGAGCACACAGCGCAGTTCAGAGAAGGCCCAGGCCTTGGACACGGGCCAGGTAAAGCGGGTGTTCCTCACCGAAAACAAGGGAGATGGTGTGACGAGATGGAGGGACTTGATTAGTGATCGCGGGGGTCTGGTGTGGTCTGGAGCGCTGGGAGAGTTTGATGTCTTGTGCAATTTGATAAGTTGATCTAACTCTTGCCACACATCCTTGTGGGTCTTGTTAGCTGCTGCACACAGCAATAACCTCTGCAGCAGATCCAGGGCCCGGTCAGAACCAGCTGGCCCACTTTTGCCTGTTGTAATTCTGTTTAGGCTCCACCCAGGGCAGTTTTCTGTAACACACCGGTCCCATCGGCCTGCTCTGGCCACGCCTCTGGAAATATCCTAAATTACTTTAACGATAAAAATAAAGGATTTCCTCCCCAGCAAGCCGTCCAGTTATCCTCTGACAGCTGCCATGGACATTAAACGCAGGGTCGCCAGCTCTCACGCATCTGGCGTGACACGCTTTCAGACTCTCACGCATCTGGCGTGACACGCTTTCAGACTCTCACGCATCTGGCGTGACACGCTTTCAGACTCTCACGTTCACGTAAGAAATCTTACGGCAACTCTATATTATTCCATTATCAACCTAAAATAAGTGACATCAAAAGCGTTGGGGCAGTTTGCAAACCTTACAGCCTATTTACATACTAATAGAACTCTTACATACATGTAATTACGTGTGCATATGTGTGCAGACTCATCTCGAACTGAAAATCTCACTCCAGCCAGCTGACCAAAGTTGGCAGCTCTCTTCAGTGAGATTACAGCATATTCCAGTCCCAGTGTTGCCCAGGAGGGTGCAGGGTTACAGCTGAGACGAGGACGATACTTTGCCTTGAAATGAAGCCCTGTAAGCTTCCAGAGTGCCAGAAGGATGACTGAATGGTCCCGGCTGCATTCCTCGTTCACGGTGTAAAGTGCTGTAACAGCACCACAGGCGTGCGGCCATCTCCATCTCCAAACTGTACATGGCTCATTATTTCCTGGATCAGTCGTGCGACCCTTGTTATTCCCGCGTGGGGCTTGACTGCTGTTTTTTGTCTGTGTGCTCCTAATTAAATGATGCCCCAGGGTAGGGGAGACGGAGTGACGGTTTTGTTTTACGGAAATGTTTTTCGAGAGCAGGCTGGACGATGCTGTGTGAAAAGCTACCAGACAGGAAAATCTGTGTAAGGAATATCAGCTGGGGGCCATCCTGTCAGCTCTTATAGAAATGATTTATTTATACTCCATCTTGGGGCGACTCCGCGGGCCCAATGAAGCTATCACTGAGCTGGGTGTGGTACGCGAGACACCTGCTGGAAATCCCGAGCCCCCGCCTTTCGCCCCCAGCTTTCCCGGTGTTCCCTTTACAGTTCCTTCACACACAACTCCATATTTTCCTAGAGACCATGTTACCATGGATAATACCATAAACTAAATTCAGAACAGCAATAGCCTGCAGCATCATTCAAAACAAAGAAAGAAAGACAGATAAGACCTTGTCTTGTATTGTGCTGTATTTTTGCTCCGTGCTCTTTACGTACCTTGGTACTGTATGCACAGGAATTTAGGATAGATGGATGGATGGATAGATAGATAGGTTGATAGATAGACAAATGAATGAATGATTGAGTGAATTAAAAATAGTTATAATACATAAAAAAATTGAAGGAAAAAACATGCCCATTATTTCTTTTGTCACTTAAGGCTATTGTTCCAAAAACTGATAAATAAAGGAACAAAGGAGTTCTTGAAATGGTTCAGTTTACACCGATGGACTCTATACACCAGGGATCATATGGGATCAACCTGGGATCATATGGGATCAACCGAATCTCATCTCATCTAATCTCTTCTCATCTCATGTCATCTGATCTCAGGGAGGTTCCCATCAGCTCTTGGGATGCACGTGTTTCCCAGGCCATGATGTTCGGAGATTTTCTGACTTCATGAGAAGCCAGCAACTGTCTATAGGCCATCCGTGACTCTTCATTCCTCTATCATCTTCTGCACGACCCAATAAAATGTTGCTTGCTTTTGTATTACAGGCCTCTCACAGATCCCAGAGCACCTGGTGTTCAGGCCACGGCTGACCCATAGTGAAGGCCTTGGTCCGTTCCTGTTGGACTGCGGGAGAAGACTCCTATCAGTGTTCTTGGTGCTCTTTGTCTGAAAACGGTCCTCCATCCCATTGGTGGCCCCCTGTCCCCTGCCATGGCCCCCATGGGGCTTCCTCCTCCTGGGGAGTTTCAGTCCATGGGGAAGGAGGTGATACCTCACTTGACTTTATCGTCACAGGGTGCCAGGAGCGGCCCTGTTGACGTGGGGACAGCCGAATGCACTACTCTGCAGCAGGACACATCAAATCTGTCCTGTACCACCGGTAAGGACAGGCTACAAAGACATAAACAACGGAACTTCTCTAGGCTGATCTGGAGAAAACTCTCCCAGCAGCGATGGCCCCCACCCCGGAGGCTTGTGTTCAGGGGCCATTTGTGTTTTCTGGAAGGACTGTGGAAACCACAAATGTGACTTGGAGCATGCTGCATGTTGAACGCATTCTTGCAGCTTTTTCCCCGCTGGGCAGGTGCTGTGATGCGTTTATGTAACCAAAACAAAGCCATGGGTGTTAAGAAAACAATGCTGAAGCCCTTCTCTTGCCTACGGTGCGAGTCAAATGAATCTGATGCGTGAAATTGCTTTTGAGATCTCATCTCTCCGATGACAGCAGAATGGAGGGAAGCGCGACGAGCTGCATATCACAGGATGCGTTCCTTTCTGAACGCTCGCCTGACTTGGTTTGAGGAAAAATTCACAAATGAAAGATTACTTCCGTGGTCTCTTCCTCTTCGGGCTGACTGTCTCTGAGACATTTGGTTTTGATTTTCATTTAATTGCCTTTAATGCTCCAAACCCCTACCCCAGAGAGGTAGATAACTTCAGCCATTCAAATGAGTTTCAGATATCGGCCAGAAATCCAAGGGTGTCTGGAGTTAGATGTCTGTCCATGTGATGCTCTGTTGTCGGCCAATCACAGCTTGCTGATGCCCTTGCCCTATCTGACTGAACTTCCTGGTTCCTCAAGTAGCTGATAACGGCCACCTGCTCCGCACTCAGTGTTTGCTCAGCATCGCTGATCTGTGCCTTTGGCATGTTTTTTTAACTGTGTGCCTTAACCTTCTTCTCTTGGGGATGTTTGTACTGTTACTGATTTATTAACACTCTTGTAACTCACCGATTTCCATGTGCGTGCTGTTCTGCTCACTGCCTATGCTCAGTCTCTGTCTGACCTGACCGGATGAGGGATCCCTTTCCTGTTCCTTGACTGTCATGGTCTCCTCTTCATCGTGAGGCAGTGTAGGCAGATAAAGGTGCAGGATCGCCTGGGAGGAGGACCTCAGGCAGTAAACCCCACGTCCTCCATATCCCGCCAAGACTCCTTCCTCCTGCTGCTCTCTGCCAGAGTTGACGGCTCTGCTGTGGTCTGTGGAGAGACGTGACACCTCCATGGTGCCTGGTGTTAATCAGCGTTAATGTCTGATTCTGTCATAGGACTCAAAGACCAGTTAATGTTTGAGAGCTGAGATTCTCGGACTGGATTTCGGAAAGCGAACCAGAAAACCACAGAAGAAACTCCCTTAAACACATAAATAATTACTTCAATAGTGAACAAAAAAAGAATATACTGTGGGTGGTGCAGTGGTTAGCACTATGGCCTCACACCACTGGGACACCTGGGTTCCGTGTGTGTGGAGTTAGGGTTAGGGTTAGGGTTAGGGTTAGGGTTCTCCCTGTGTCTTCGTGGGGTTTCCTCTGGGTGCTCCGGTTTCCCTCCACAGTGCAAAGACATGCTGAGGCTAATTGGAGTTCCCAAATTTCCCGTAGGTGAGCCTGTGTGAGTGAGTGCTGTGTGAGTGAGTGCTTTGTGAGTGAGTGCTGTGTGTGTGTGCCCTGCCATGGGTTGGCATCCTGCCATGGGTTGGCACCCCGTCCTGGGCTGTTCCCTGCCTTATGCCTATAGGCTCCACACCCCCCGCAACCTTGAACAGGACAAGCGGTTACAGAAAATGGATGGATAAAGTAGTATGCTATATCACTCAGGCCAGTAATAGATTCAAGATGTAATATTGTCATATACACTGCAAGTAAACAGTCAACATGTAATATGTAAGCTGGTCTGCACGTGGGAATAGTCAGATTAGCTGATAAATGCTTACATATGAAGGACTCGTGTTTTATGAATAGACACACAGCACTAGGACCAAAGCCTGGCCACGCTGAGGGCTTTTACACGGTGGGGTATCTGTGGGTAACGTCCCAGCAGCTGCTCAGCTCCACCACAAGGCCTGTAACCGGTGAAGCTGGACTTCAGCTCAATGGGGAAATGCCTGCAGGGGGCGCCAACCTGCAGAATCCCTCAGATAAAAAGCTCTTGCTGGGAAAGCTTGTATCTTTTAGCCCAGTGTTTCTCAAGCCAGTCCTCCAGGACTGTCCACAGTTCTGCTCCCTCCCAGCTCTCGGCACACTTATACCAGTTATTCTGTATAACTGTGGACAAGCCCATCTTACATAGGAAAGCTCTCTGGTTAAGTGGCCCTTTCAAAAGGCTAGACTGAGAAACAGCACCCCCTCCTGCAGCCTCCTGCAAAGGCAGTGCCCTTACAGACGTACCCAGGTATGAGAATCATGCCAGTCGGCATGACTGGCAGATTGAGTAGACACGGGGAATGAATATTTGGAGATGGGGTTTTCCTTTTAAGGTCTTACATGGGGGTGGAGGTGGGGGGTCGGTTTCAGAGGTCAAAAAAGAAGAAACTCTGGCACTGAGTCTGGGAAAAAGGACTAATAAGAGACGTCGGCCTGAAAGTGCTGTTGGAGCCACTTGGAGGGTGTGGTCTGGGTTACTGGGCACAGGGAGTCAGCAGGTCACGCCAATTATGAACAGGTGGGGGGTGGCTGTCCGTCACGGGAGGCTGAGTCAGACCAAGGCCACAGTTCAGTTCAATTTCTAACCCCCGTAACTTGCTTTGAACTTAATGTTCATGGTGCGTTTATGGTGTGTTTAGTGGTATGTCAGACCAGAGCGAAGAGAGTGAATGGAAGAGCTAAAAATACCTGGAGACAGCCTCATGTAAAAGCTCAATCTGAGGTGGCCTCGTGTAAAAGCTCGGTCTGAGGCAGCTTCGTGTAAAAGCTCAGTCTGAGGCACCCTCGTGTAAAAGCTCGGTCTGAGGCAGCTTCGTGTAAAAGCTCAGTCTGACGCTTTAAACCCTCTGTCATAATTTTATGTCGCCTGAGCCACAAAGTCTCCCACAGATGCTTTGTGAGGAAAAAGACAGGTGGGATGAGTCAATGCATTGAACCACCCCCGTGTAAGACAGCTGAGGTCCATGTGCCCCCCCCTTCCCGCTCCTAGATCGTATCTTCCAAGTAACCAAGGACATTTGGCACTCCATTTACTACAGCGTTTACAGGAACTGTGTCAATTTACTCCCCACCAGCCTTTTGATAATTTGGAGAGAATAGGATGGATATGAACAGGACAAGCTTGGAAGGAGATAGTGTGGTGATGTGTGAAGGCATGGGTACAGGTGGCCCTCTTCTACCTTGGCTGTCGCTTGCAGTGAAGTCATCTTGTTCTCTCTGCACTCTGCCCCTCTGACCACCGAGAGCAGATGATCTGCTTAGCTTTCGGTGTGGCTCTACTCTTCCTTTTGCGTTCCCCCTCTGCCGACGACCGTCAGATTTCCCATCCTCCCCAGCAGACCTCTGGAGGCTCCTTGGAGACTCGTGACCACCAGCAGAACCAGACCTCTCCAGTAAACAGCATCGGAAGCCCTGTGCTGAGAGACAGGCGTGAGTCACACAGAAGCCCCTGATGCCACCACCACACTCCCGTGCTTTATCCCAAACCACCGTGGTGCTTCCAAAAGCACGGTCCTGACACAACATAGCAGCTGGCTTTGAAAGCGTGGGAAACCCACCTTCAGGGGCACTGAGGCAAAAGGGACAGGCTCCAGTCTGCCCTGAGCGACACACAGGACATTACTGTATTTACATTATTTAGGAGACACCTTCATCCAAAGTGACATACATCTCCTGAGGGTCAGGCTGGAGCAAACGGACATTAAGGGCCTCACCCAAAGGTGAAATCGCTCAGCCAACCCTGGGATTTTAATCCGCAACCTTCCAGTTACACATACAGTTTCCTCAGCCACTGAGCCACACACTGCCGGGACTCTCACACTGGATTCATACTGGATACTATTGGACTCACACTAGACTCACACTGGACTCACACTGGTTCTTGCTGGACACTGGATATCACTGGACTCATATTAGATTCACAATAGGACAAAAAACACTGGAAGTACAACATAGCAGTTGCCAGAGCACCATTTTCATTGGTACTACTGCTAATCTACATTTTGATTGGGGGAATGGCTCCTCATGTTTATGTCCAGTGACACCTAATGGTCACCAGCCACGATAACAATGTTTCTGTTTCTCAATAATTGGCCTTGCATTAACTGCTGTTGCTTCCCCAAGAAAAAGTGTTCTGGTCACCAGAGATGGGTCCGTGGTCGCCAGAGTGAAGAGAATGCTCCTCCGGTGATTTTTGGATATTCCCTCTCTGTAGCATCCTGAGAGAAACCGGTTGGCGTGAGAAAGGTCACCAATGCTCACCGACCTGGAATTAAGACACAACTGGGACTCTGATACCAGAAAACGTCTATTTGAAAACAAAACATCTTCATTTATTTCCTCCTTTGTCTGACAGGTACAATAACAGTGGTGATACAACTCACACATCTCTGAAGTGAAATTAGAAAATAGGATGTTCAATTTTTTGGACTCATTAGTGCCCCTTATCTAGTTTAGGCTGGCTAGTAAAATGGTGGATTTTTCACTCAACTCTTTACACCCCTTGAGCCCTCAGGGTTGTGCCTAATTAATTCTCTTCTCAGAATATCGTTCAGAGTAATATTTTGGAGTTAAAGGACTGCTTCAGACGCACCTTCAAAGAGTAACAGTAAATAGTCTTTGGTTGTGTATTAAGCAATGCTGTCCCCTATACCTGGAAATTCCTCCCTTCCCACCTAAAACAGTCCCGAGCTCAAGCCTCTGTGAGACCGCAAAGATTTCCATGTAAGGCCAACTCAGGATGCCTGGTTATTGCATTACGGAGAAAACCTGCTAAATTATGCCTTATTCTAAGGCAGCTTGAACTGCCTTTGGTCCTGATCCTCATTCTGCTCCATGCATTGCGGCGATAAGAGGCTGCCTGACATCGGTCTGCATGGCGTCACCTGTCAATGCGCCACAAACCAGCTGGCAATACGATTTCATTGCCTGAAACCCAGCAGGAACTTCACAGCGGCTACACGTGTGCCTTCAGACGGGTCACTCTGTCCGTAAGTAAGCTGGCACTCGTTTGCAGGAAGTCCAATGAAAACAATGCCTACCTGCCTTATCTTCAGATTCAAGCGTTTGGGGGCCTCTCTCCCCTGGGACCTGGGAGGGATGTCTCGCTACAGCGAGCCGCGCTGGTCTTCCAGGGTGAGTGTTGTTACTGTATCCAAGGGAACCCTGAGCCTGTGTGCTTCCACCGCGAAGACTCCACAAGGCGAGCGTTTATTTTGTCATGGGAACAAAGATGCCTGCCTGCTTGAGTTAAAGGAAACCCCGGCTTGTGTTTTTTCTACATGTCCGGTTACTTCAGTAATTCATTAAAATAACAATTGCGGCGTAACCAGTTTGGCCTGTCAGCTGTGAATTGGAAAAACTGAGAAACTCAAGTCAAATTTTTTTTTAACAAATGAAGATGAAAGTTGTGCCATTCTGGCCAAATCTAATAAGTTCCAAGAGCTTCTAATAAAACTGGTGCTTGTAAAAAAGGTTTGTCAACATATCCCTGGGCACACGGCCCAGATACCCCACCTGCTCCGCTCTGACAGAAAGCTTGAGAGGAGAACAATGCACATTTGGCGACAGCGAAATTATACTCTCATCAGTAAGTTATTAGCCGCAGGATATTTTAGTGATAAGAGTTAAGTTACTCACTGCTGTATGCGGCTCGGAGGGTTTGGGGTCTGTGCCTGTGATTGGAAGGTCGCTGGTTTGAATCCTGTGCATTGAGTGCCTGAGCAAGGCCCTTAACCCACAAAGAATTTTCCAGGGGCACCAGATAAATGGCTGATCCAGTGCAGATCCCGTGTTTCTCTCTCTCTCTCTCTCTCTCTCTCTAAATATGTATATATATAGAGGAAAGTGAGATGGAATAAGTGAAAAGAAGCATTCCAATGTACTTGTGCAAAAATAAAGCACAATATACTGGAAGTTCAACTTGCAAACTTGGAAATGTTGGTTATGAGATGTCTGATCTCACCTGGAGGAACACACACTGGTCTACCCTGACATCCTTATCCAGTTAGAGGACAGTTACTCACTGGGTTCCAGTTAGGTGACTTGTGCGCGCAGCTCTCACCAAAGGGGCTCGGCACTGATCAAAGGGCTCCCTCGGGTGTCCAAACCCCGTGTCCCGCTTAACTCTGAAATTGAAGGCCAATAGGATCATTCAAACTGGAAAATCTCACACTTTCAGACTGTCTTGGAATGAATGCATAGTCTTAAATGTAACCCCTTCCCAAGGGCTTATGGACGTCCACTGATACTTACTACTGTTATCAATAACTACACTGTACTATATTAATACTCCTTGTAGTTCAGGGATGGGCAATCTTATCCACCAAGGGCCATAGTGTGTGCAGGTTTTCCCTGCAACTTCCTAATTAGATTACTAATTAGAGGACTGATTGGCTGAGGAGTCCTCACACCTGGCTTTGAACAGGTAACCTAAAGGTTATCCCAAAATACACTGGCCCTTTGCAGATAAGATTGCCCACCCTTGTTAAAGCTAAATTTGGCCTCATTTCAAGTGTTCATAACTGGTGTGCTACTTGTCCTGTTATGAAACCAATTGCAAACTTTTCTGCAATAAAAGATTAGCTTCATGAGACTCAAGCTCCAGAATATGCTTATCGTCCAGTATTTATGCAACCAAAAAGTGGATCAACATAAATGATTGGGGAAATCCTGAGGTTTATTTCAGGATAGTCTTTGTCAAGCAGGTTCAGGAAGGGACTATGGAGTAGATTCAAGGCCTGGATACCATCTGATACTGAGAATAATCTCAAATGCACAACCGATGGTGCATTCACTACAAGTGTGATTCATTACGTAGCCCAAGAATGTATAAACTGCTGATAAATACTCTGACAAGCATTACTGAATTTACTAGTCATTCTGTTTGTAAATAAAGCTAATTTAATATAGCTAGATGTGATTTCATTAAAATAGCAGGGCTGGTGGTAATATCGTGTTGAGGTTTATTGTGTTTCTTTCATCTCCAAATTTTCACTAAAGCCAGAACTAAAATCCCGGTGTTTTAGATTAGTGTGATTAGATTTGATTAATTAAAACTTTAGTCATTCCAAGGGAAATTATTGTGGCCAGGCAGAGCTCTCATACTGCAAAATCAAAACAACAAACAGAGGTTAAAACACCAAATATAAGATAAGGAATTCAAACATAAAGAAAGAAAAATAAAATGAGCAAAAGATAAAAAGATGCAGGCCGTGGCAGGGAGGGGACGCGTGTTTCCCTTGCTACCTGTGAAAGAGAGACGTGTTAATAAGCTTTTACCCCCCCCCCCCCCTTGAATGGGGCTTCCTGTGGTTGGCAGGCCATTCCACTCTACGCCCCATCCAGCACTGCTACTGCGCATCTCCATCTTACCAGCACGCATGCTGTCTTAGTTTATTGCTATTTTATTCTCCTCCTTTATTGTTCACTTAAATTACTTTTTTCTTACGTTGTGTCCTTTCTGGCACAAACCTGGAAGCAGGTGGAAAAGCATTTCATTGGACCCCTAGACAGTCCACATTTTTGCTCGCTACCCGCTCCCAAAACGTCTGAATGGAACAATCAAGAAATCAAGAACACAGAGTACCTGCTACAGGTGTATGGGGAGCCGGGAGCCGGGAGCCGGGAGCCGGGAGGGAACAAGGATGCAGGTTGCTGGGGTCCTTGGGTGTGAGTTGAGAAACTGAACTACAGCATATGTACAGTATACCTTTATGTATGAGACTAATAAAAACCCGAACCTGTTTACGCTGCGGCGCGGGCTGGGATTGCTGCTTAGTCCCTGGGTGGCTCACAACAACAGAGAGCTTCCCTCTGCAGCCGATCGCCTCGTCCATCTGCAGACATCACACGAGATGGAAGCCCCTTTTCAGGATGTGTAAACGCCCCCCCCCCCTGCCTCTGCTGACACAGTCCAGGCCGAGCTGAGCTCCTCTGTGATAAATCAGCCTCCCCCCCCCACCCAGTGACGCCCGTGATGGCCGCTTGTCTGTCTGGCATACTGTACTCGGCTGAAATATGGCTTTTGGGTTCTATGAGACGAAAATATGCTTTCCAGTGCGGGACAGCCAAGCCTGCATCTGCGGGGACATCTGCGGCTCACATGTTAGGGTTCTGGCTCAGACTTAGGGGGGGTTGGGGGGGGGCAGTCATGGGATGAGCCTGTTCTCTCACCTGTGCCCATTTACCCATAATAACATGCTATTCGTCTCACTTCAACGTCGCTTTGGACTAAATCACCTGCTAAATAAATGTATATGTGATAAAAGATGAGTTTCTGTTTGTCTGTCGGACCCAGACTACATGCCCTGACCTTCTGTCCTGATCCTAACTCAGCTGCAGTTCTTCCCCAGACCCGATCTCTGGTCGATACCCCTTTTCCATCCTGCCAATCTGTCCTCCCTTCCCCTTTGTCACATGGGAGAGAATGTGTGACTGGAGCACAGGCTGCACCTTAAATTTAGCCGTATATTAGCTCACACTTCTGCTGTTTACATTAACATACTGTTGCTCTTATGTACACTGTGGTATCGCGCCTCCAGATTTCCACACCGATTGCAGCCAGGCATTTTTCCCATAATTCACTGGTGTATTTCCTCAGCTGCTGATTGGCTTTTGGGGCTTTGGAGCATCATCTGAATGTGAAGAGGCTCAGGCATCCCAGAGGGGCTTTGTAGACACGCATGTCGTCCATCTCAGACCCACTCATCTGGTACAGGCACGGCTGAGGTTCAGCAAGCCTTATTCTGCAAGGCGGACATTTAAAAAACAAAATATATCATGCAGATCCAGCTGCAGAGCCAATGGCCTGCATGACCATGAACATCCCCTGTTCTGGAAAATCAGCCTCATGCATCCCACTCTTCGAGATAAATGTGTTAAAGTCTCCCGTGTTACCCTTCATTCTTCTCAGATCTATTCCGCATGCCCTGGACTTACCCCAGCGAATCCTTAAGTATAAGCGATGTATGTTTCTTACTTGAGATTAAACAGGTTTTACCAAACTGCTGTGTCAGGAGAGCATACTGAGTTTGTCAACATCCTGAAATAATGACAAAATGCTGACACGTTAGCCTGTGCCGATTGCTTAATACGACCCACATTGAATTCATCTGTCTTTGATGAAGGAGCCCAACATGTATGATATTTTGCTAATAGTTATAACACAGTATGGAAAATTTACTGTTTTCTCGCCCTCTTTTTGACCCATATGTGTTTTATAAGAACAGTATGAAAGTTAAACCTCGCTCCTGCCTCAGATCTCAGCTTCATCAATAACTTTGTGACATTGTGCAAAGGAGAGCAGTACAGTCAGTGAAACGGCTGGGGTCGTTTAAGTGTTTCTCCGCAGGGGAGAACTGTGCTCTGCCCAGGAGTGCTGCGGACCGCGGTGTGACGCTCAGCGTGACAGGCCATGACTGGGATACAACAACTGTTCCCCGTTGGACCATTTGTTCTGCGTGCGGCTCTGTGGGGTAGGTTGCTGGTTCAAATCTCAGAGTGAGAGTGATGTCACTGTTGGGTCCCTGACAAAGGTTCTGAATCCCCGATTGCTCCAGGGATTCTGTTTTCTCAAAAAAAAAAAACAAATATCACTTTGGATAACAACACCTGCTATGTAAATAAAATGTAACGTCCGTGCTGCTGGAGAGAGCTCACTGAGAAGCAACTGACAATTTTAACATCGCTTATCCTGTCATCTGACCTGTGCTATGACAGTTTGAACCTTTGGGTGTTTCCTCACTGAAAGATATCTTGATAAGGCCTGCAGATAACTGGTGCAGGCTTCCTGGAGCTTAATGAGCCCAGTATGATGCCGGACTTGTGATTCACCTTCTTTGTGCTGTCATGTGTAGTCAGTGATATCTGGACCTGTACCTGCGACTTAGGAAAGGGAATTCGAAGAGCTTCACTCGAACTAACACTGCATGACTTAAAAAAAATCCAAATGAAATCTGGTAATTAGATAAGGTTGTCTGCAAAGCATCCATTACACTTCAAGTTAAGAAGATTTATGGCTGATCTGGCACAGGACTGAGATTCTTGGGGCAGCGGAGCGTGTCGACTGCCTTTAGTTGAATCTGCTTGACATTTACCCTTTCTCTGACACCAGAATGACGTCTGCAACCTGATCCCTTGATGAAACGTACAGGCTTTAGTACACAAGGAATTAAACTTTGTTTACATTCAGAAAGCCACACTTTGCAGCTGGGGGTGCTGCTTTTGCACGCAACCTGGACCAGGTCAGCTGCAGGCAGTAAAGTCTTAATCTTAAACATCGAAGGCTGTGAGGCTGACCGTACCATCGACGGGCTACTGAACTTATTAGCATTTGTTTTATGAATTTACGTGTTCGTTATGTTGCTAATTGCTAATCATTGAATTACAATGACTCGTTTTGTGTAAGTCCAAATGAGGACTGAATAGTGGCTTTATTTTGGTGAATCATCAGCTTAGCAGTAGATACTGTAATGAAGTTTTCAGGCCTGGTTCTGGAAGGCTTCCATCCACCTGGCTTTATGTGCTGCTAATAATCACCTGTTTCTAGGTGATTATGTACACCTGTTGTGCAGTTATTTGCTTGAAGGAATTCGACTGCATCGCTCCCTTTTTGATCGCCAACCCAAATCCCTTAATAATCTCTCCTTTCAGGGGTAATTGGTTTTATATAGTCAGTGATCAAGTGTTGATTTAGAAACTCCAGAAATATGTCAGCAAAGGTCGAACACAGCAATTTAACTAAACTGCTGAACACTGAAACCCCCACCCCCGGAGAAAGCAGGGACATGTCACATTAGGGGCCAAACCCAAAGCTCACTTTGGACACTGCAAACCCCGTGTGTGTCCATACTATAGGACGCACAGAAACACATCTGGAGAGTACCAGGCTGGGTTCGGGTGCAAAAATAATTAGGAAATAAAGTCAAATTTTCTTCGCAGTGATTCCTCGATGCTGTGGGACTGACGGTGAGCTTGGGCAGATTGAGTAGATATTGACTTAATGGATCCAGGGATTATTGCAGCCTTTAATGTACAAATATTGCTTAAAAAAAGAGAATTTTAGTGGTCATTGTTGACACACCACAGTACACAGTGCACAACAACGAAATGTGTCCTCTGCATTTAACCCATATGTGACATCGTGACATAGCAGGGGGCAGCTAATTCAGTGCCCGGGGAGCAGTGCCTTGCTCAGGGTATCTCAGTGGTGCCTTGCTGGTCGGGGATTCAAACCAGCAATCTTTCAAGTATAAGTGCGCTTCCCTAACCATTAAGCCACCACTGCCCACAAAAAAAAAAATGAGGGGAGAGCACAAATGCAGTCCACCCACTACCAGAAATTATGCAGTGGAGATTCCCACATTTGAGGAATTCGCAGGGGTTAGCACAGCTGCAGCGCAATGGCTGAGCCTCACCCTGGGTGAAGCACCTTCGTGATCATGGTATCTCCTCTGCCAGGTAAGTATTAAGGTTGAATTCCAGATGTAACTGTGTCACTGTGGATTCCTGCCATGCCTCTTCAGTACTCCCTGGTTTTCTTAGGCTCACATGGTACTTTCATTCACACAGGGTTTAACCTGTTCACTTCCCTCTATTATTGAAAAAGAAAACATAATGATCAGCATCCAGAACAATTTTATATAATTATCTTGCGTTCAATTATCTCTCTCCGAGTCGGAACTCGGATAAAAACGTCACGAAAAATGTCACTTCCCATTGGAAACACGCCTACTTTCTGACGTTGATGTCGGACAGAATTTTCTTGTCTGAGATCACCCTGTGACGTCATTTCAACATGGCAGCTTACAGTCAACAGTAATTCTATTTAATAAATATTTAAAAATGTTTCTTTTGTTAAATGTATTAATAGTTATAAATGTAATTGCACATGGTCGATTTAGAGAATACCATATCATGACCGTAAACCGTATCCTAGCATGCAATGTCAGATTTTTACCAGTTATTGTCCTTTATTTGTTTGTAGTTTGTTTGCCTCCCGAAAAAAGAATATCGCTATCGATCTAGAAAAATATTATAAAACTTTTAATGTGGTTTGACTCTTTCGTGTTTCTTGTTTGTATGTCTCTCGGAAAAAAATAATCTCACTCCAAATCTGCTAAAATATAAAGCAACTACACACAGCAGCGTGTTCATGGAGGCAGCCATGTTTGTTCCGAGATGTGGCAGCTCGAACGGGAGATTGTCGGACGTGATGTCACTCACCTCGGAATTTCCGACTTCCGAGAGATAATCAAACGCACCATTACTGCGGAGTACTTTTATAGTGTCCTTGATTCCAAAAGGGTGAGGATTCTGTGTCTGTGTGCTGGAGGTCACCGGTATGATGACCCATGGCCAGCAGGGTGATCATTTCACCGTCGGACCCTTGAGTAATGTTCTCCTCTCACCTGTATATGTGTGCGTCTCACAGCAGAGCATCATTTGATACATGAAAACCAAAGAATTGATATGCACCTGTATGTGCACTCGTATAAATGGCAAATAAAAGTAAGTTAAGAAGAATGAGATGATAACAGAATCAATCTCCTTCTAAGAGGCCTTTAGCACTTCCCGGTGTGATTCCAGAACCTTCTTTTCACACCCTCATGCAAAACAGGTGTGGAGTTACAGGGCAGTTGGTGCACTTACATGGTTCCTGGTAAAGCAGATGGGAAGCTGCTAAAGTGGGATTCAAGCCCCCCCCAACCCCACTGAAGAGGTCACGGCCGGTCATAGTCCTGGCATCGTGCCACAAAGCGCCGTTTCTGCCGAAAAGCGGCCTGGCACCTGGATTTACTGCTGACATGATTTGTTGTCAGTGTCTGGCAGGGCCTGTGCCTCTCAGAACCACGGGCCTTTCAGTCCTGCTGGATTATTCTGAGAGGTAATACCCAGTGCACATGTGCTGGTGCCGCAGCTGCCTTCTCGTACGCTAATCTAAACTAGCGCTGTGACGTGAACTGCAGAGGATGCAATGAAATATGCATCGCAACAGGTTTGGGGGAAGATGAAGCTTCCATCTGCATATGCTTCGCGAAAGGATGCTTTTTGAAGGCTAACATGCTACGTTTAGCCAGGTCACATCAAACCGACCTTTGCTAGGATGCTTAGCATGCTAATTACAGCCTCTCCTTTGGTGCTGGGTCACGCTCTGTGCAAACACACAGTTTTATCCCTCTGTGTAAACATGCTTCCGGGTACATATGGGAGGGCCCCTGGACTGGAATAACACTGTCCTGGAAATCAAAACAAAGGCAGGATGGAGAGTGTTTGATATGGTTTGAATTTGCTCGATAGCAAAGCCCTAGAACCAGCCCTCAAGCAGTTATTTCAGGGGAAAATAATATAGGAGTAGTATAATGAGACCTTTGCATTGTGTTTTTGCACAAAACATATCACTGTTTCAACCAATTGGTCAAATGAATTTTACTTAGTATAGTATTTTCATGGGAAGGTTTATCACCAAAACTGGATCGAAGAGTTAAGTTCTGCCAGAGGATCCTCTGCATGGAAAATCTTTCTCTCCTAACAGCTTCAAAAGTGTAAATCTGTCAGCCAACAATACTGTGCAATGCAGAAGTAATTAGGTCCCTGCATCTGTTTTAAATATGCCGTTGGAGAGGGAGAGAGATCTGTCTTTTGTTGTTTCTTTTTTTCGGGGCGTGCCCCCATCACTCCTGGTGTTCCCAACAGAAGCATTGAGGTCACATCTGAAGTGATTCATCTTTGCCAAACGAGAAGAGCCACTGCCGAACAAGGAATCAGACCATTTAAGCGAGTCCAGAACAGATGGATGGTGGGGGCTATGACCCAGCATGCCTACGCTAACGCTGATGAATGTCTGAGATCCACCCAGAGCCGTGGGATCAGCCATAATCGAAGTCAAGAATCACATCCATGCTATCCAAAGATTCCCTCACCAATGTTGCTAAGTGTTTTGGATGAATAAAATCATTCCAACCGTGTGAAAGACCTTTTCAGTTTAGTTTGGAGGGATCCTGGTTAACCTTGAGTTTGCTTAGCCCAAGGTCTTCTGAAAAGTTCTGATCACGCAGACTGAAACTTCTAAATCAATGAAAGAGCAAATATCCAAAAGTCATTTTTTGAGGTAAGACCACCAATGACCTAAACTCAGGCTTCCGCATCATATGTGACAGTACTGGAACCAAGTAGCACAGCGATTTGCAATGTTTGTAAAATAAAGTTTTGAGAGGTGGGAATAGCATTTAATGGACAATCCCACTTTAAAAAGCGCACGCAACTGTGCGAGATAAAAAAAAATCAATGGATGATTTGGGAGTCGCTAAACTGGACTGTCCTGCGAACTCACTGCAGCTTGTGATACAAGAGGGGCTGCCGTCACAACAAAGTGTAGCTGAGCTGGCGCCAAGGGGAGAAAAACTGTGTTAAACTTTTAAGCATTCGCCACTTGTGTATACTTGTTTTGAAGATATTCATATTGAACTGCAAATGCCTCAAAAACACTTAAAACAAGACAAACAAACGAGGTGGAGCAGTACGTTAGGTATGTTTCTAGTAGCCTATAAATATTTTTTGTCATATTTTTTTTCCACTGTATTTACTAGCTTTAAAAAATTAATATAAAGGTATAACAAAGTAAAAAGAGCTCTTGTATCGGAATCGATTTGGAACTGAAAAAATGTGGATTGGCCCTAAATATAACTGCTCACAATCACCACCACAATTGAAATTTTCTGCACCTGCCACTGCCTGCTCTGCAGTATTATGCAGAGGTGGGCAAAGAACAGAACTCGAGTCAAAGATAAAGATACTCCTGGTGAAATATTACTCCAATATAAGAGTTGTTCAATTCAGTCAAATTTTTATTTTCAGTTAAAGTACTGCAGTACTTGATATTAAAAATACTTAATTATTCAAAAGTACATTATCGCATCATTGTATTGCTGCCACACAGCATTTACGGAAGCTAATGTGAGAGCTTCTGAATGCACTGACTTGCTTGTATGACCTATAGAATAGACAACTTGTCTTCTAATTCCACCCACTCCATCTACATCCAACAGCTTGGTAGTATTCTGAGACAGCTCTGCCAGTGTGGCTGTACATTCATGCATATGCATGCAGCAGGCAGACTGTGGAATTGCTGTAGATGCAACTTCCTCAAATAAAAAATAAATAAAACAATTAATCCAGTTACACTCCTCTACCTTTATAACTGCCCAACAGCAACATGAAGGACAGATTAGGGGTAGTTTAATGGCCACCATGAAAATATTATTTGAATTCTGACTTTAATGTCAGAATTCTGGCTTTAATGTCAGAATTCTGGCTTTAATGTCAGAATTCTGACTTTTTTTCTCAGAATTCTGACTTTTTTTTTCTCAGAATTCTGACTTTAATCTCAGAATTCTGACTTTTTTTTCTAAACCTGGCGTGAACCTAGGTGAAATTTTCCCACCCCAATACTGTTTCTCCAATGATGCCTGGCATACAACTGGCCAGTAGGTGGCATAGTGCTTAAGGACATGGAGCTGTAACTTAGAAGTTATTGAAGTGTGAAGAGACTCTGCAGTTGTATCCTGTTTAAACCGGTAAAAGTAACACCTAAGGCGACTAAATATAACTAGTTAATCTGGTTTAAATATACCATTTTAAATACTGTATACGTACTGATATGACCTGATTCAAATTTGATAGCTCTTTTCTTTTTTACCCTGGGACAAATCTATATTTGGACTGAATGTTTTTTGTAGAGCTCGTGAATTTTCAGTTCCTCTGCAGAAACTGACACTATTAATTTCTGAATTTTATTTAAAAACCATAAATTACTTGAAAAAAAAAAACACGATTCAACCATTCAATCATCAATGAGAATGTACATCCATGCTTTACAATATCTCTAATATCAAGAGTCATTTGGCTACCGATGATATCATGTGTCAAGGAATTTTGGCAATAATTCATAAGATTCTTTTTTTCCTGGAGGTGCAGGGTTAAAGG